ACGATGAATTGTAACGTCTTCTTAAAGGTTTTTGTTCTTCAAAAGAACTACCAAGAGATCGCTTACGTTTATTTTCAACTTGATGACTCATATGTTGAACATCGCTCACTAAGCACCCAATAGCTGATCACATTTGTTTAAAAGAATAAAGTTTTTCTGATTTTTTGAATGCTCGGGAAGTTTATATTAAGAATACACTAGGTCTTTAACTTACGAATCACATGTAGACATGTTTCAGACCACACACATGTAAATTCTGACGATTTTTCCCTTAAACTCTCCGCTCCCCAAAAAATCACGTCATGGCGACAGGTGTCACCGGAAGTACTTTCATATATTTTTAGGGCTTCAAAGAGTTGGGTGGGGCCAATATTCAATGGAAATTAGATGCCAACATGGTACCCCTACCCAAATTAAATACCTGATTAAATAATGATTAAATACATGTCAGAATTAGTGTAAAATTCAGGTATTTATATTTTTGTCAATGTACCGGGGCCGTATGGTACATCATCCTTTGCACTACATAAGATGCTTGCATATTAATTCGAGAAAATATGACCCTTTTGTTCTTGATAAAAAGATTTTGTTTAAACACTTAGAAATATATTTTTGTAAAACTTTGATCATTTGTTATGACCCCCTTGGGTTCTTGAGATGGAATTCACCAACAATTACTAAAGGATGCCCAAAACCCATAATAATGTAACTGGTAGAGTAAATGGCGTCTTAGCTTCACATATCAAAATAAATGTAGGAACCCAGGAAATTCAGTGATGACATAGTTTCCGATTAACATTTCCGTATCCATACGAGATGAAACCTTGAACAGAACTTATGTATTTTAGTGACTAACGGATGTAACAGTTTGCAAGAAATTTCCATTCACACCTTGCAGTGCATGATCGGAAGTGAACGCGGAATATTGTTTCAATTTCTCCTTGAAAAACGGCATTGCAAATTTAACATGTACAGTTAAACAATATTTATATTTAATAATTAGTACTTGTGAACCTTAAATAATTCGCAATGATAAACAATTAAAATAATTATATCTTTGTCGGATTTTGGATAGGTGATTACTATTTACTAAGACCTCCCTCTCTCAAATTAAGTAGTTAGAATACCTATTAAAATGGCATGAATGGAAAAAAAAGTTCCTTTGGTAAATTGTTTTTAGAAGAGAATACGCTGACTTTTGACTTTCCTACTTCCTCCATCATTTTCAGATTTTTTTCTTTAGTTTTCCAGAATACAATACAAAACTGAACTGTTACCATCGTAACAAAAATTGCATAAAAATAAGAAAGTAAAATAATAGTGTTTATTGTGCTGAGAGAGATAACAGATGCTAAATCTATAGATTTATCGATATTTTCCACTTATTTAATGAAACATTTGAACAATGCCTTTATGATGGAAACATTTTTGACAAATTTACGATCCTTACTCTCTGATTTAGCAGAAGGAAAATTATCACCATCAATTGTCCCTCCTAATGTCATTACGCAGACTATCGGCGATATTCAACAAAGAGCTAGGTTCACTTTATGCATTAAATGGCCCTTTAGATATACCAATTTATTGACTAATACCCCGTATACCATTTTCAACATTAATATAAAGTAGAGACTTAGTGCTTCCAATTTATATAACAGAATTTCCTTTGAAGAGTCCAGGCATTGAAAAACAGATTGTGTGAAATTGCAATGTTATTGATTTTTGCAGGAAAGGGGTGTTTTTGAGAACCTTCAGCAAAGAATTAAAATATGAGCACAACCCTCGATCCAAAAATTAAGATATGTTTTATAATCTTCATTAATAGTTCTTTTATAATATATTTACATATTTTGTATCGGAGGTTGTGCTGTATACGAAATATTGAAAGATTGCATCATATTTTGACCATTTTTAAAGAAATATTCACAATATGTGACGCAATTCATGACGTCATAATGCATTGACTAGAAAGAAAATTACGTCATTTTCAGTAGATATTCATTCACCAAGTGCTGAAGTATTATTTATTGCCTTGTTGATTAAAACTATACAGGTTTGAATTTTTAGAAATTCACAGGGCCAAAAAGGCCCTAAGTGGCTCTTGCTCTTTTAGATGTAGATAATATGGGATATAAAATTATAATACAGGACCCTTCATATTATAAGTTTGCAAAATTTACCATGCTCCGCAACAATTCAATGTTGTACCTGTCAGTTCGTTTTTCCTTAGCAACATATGCCAGCTCTTTTACAGCATATAAAGTCATGTCTTTTCCAATGCCAATAAATAAATCGCTTAATCATGCGTCCCAGATGTTTAATCTACCTGACTTTTTGTTACTTTCCAAAAAATGATAAATTTTACACAACACTCTCGGATAAGACAATGTCACAATGTCAAATAACAAATCCCGTATATTGTTTTCAAAATTACAAAAATTTGAAGAAACCCACATGTTATCACACAGCCTAATGAAATGTCACACAATTCAGGTGGACATTTACATTCTCCTTGACATTTTGCTTTTTTGAAAAGCATTATGAATTTGTCCTATATATTAATGCACAAAAAGGCACTAATTAGTGCGTTAGGTAAAAGAAGATTGCTTAATTCATCGAAATTTTTTCTCTCATATTTAAATAAAATATATGTTTAAACCACATTAAAATTTCTCTTGTCTTTTTTTCCTCTTAATAAAAGAAATTGATACGTTGGTAGAATTTTTAAAGTTCATGCAAATATTTGCATTTAGTATTTCATTATTACCCTTACTGATAATGAATACATAGCTGAAAAAAAATAAACTTTTCATTTTGCACAAACTCTTATATTAGAAACTTTCTTTTGTCTCCTTGCTACTGGAAATGAAAAGTAGTTTAATTATGAAAGATCTACATGAAGCAAAGTATTTTCAAAACGACAGACTGTGTTTGCAGTTTATCCCTTATTAAAGGTATCTTACGTTTGCAACTTTGGCTCAAAGAATCCCAGGAGAATCCAAAACAGCAATCAGGTCCGGTTTTGCTATGAAAAAAAGTTAAGAAAGAACTACAAATTGAATTTTCATGATCGTGCATACCTGCCATCATTAAGTTACTAATAAATAAACATACCCTGTACATTTTGATAGTACATGAAGTTGTAAAGACGCAATTACAACCACTTTGTACAAAAGAGAGTCCATTCTAGAATCGATTGAAAAGAATGGATTGAAAATCCAATTTACGTTTTGGCTTTCGTATGATCTATATCCTTCCTGTTATTATTAGTTTCAATTTCCGCGTATTTAATTATAATTATATATGATTATAAAAGTATATTTTGCTTTATATCATTATCGTAAACTCTGAAAAATTATAGAGAACTAGATTTCAAAAATTGGGATTACCCTCATATCTTCTGTTTACAAATTTTTTAACAAAAAAATTGATGGTTTTACTTGATTACCTTGACCTAAAACATTTACAATAGATTTTAAATTCACATGCTCATTACTTGATATATTCCATATGTTGACAAAAGAAGATGATCTAAGGTAACATGCTAATTTGAAATAAGATATTGTATATTATGAAAATTCTTCTATTTCACTTTTTAATTTATTCAACATAAAGTAAAAAATCTGTGAAAGAGAAAATACCAATTGATAGATGAAAGATCAGTAGGAAACCGGGTTTTCCAGGTTTATTAATGCGTGTATTGGTGGGATGGGATAAGGGTGGTCATCTTAAAACAGTTTCGTGTATTAAGTCTAAGCCTACAATACAATTTGACCAGTGAATTTGCAATCATTTCTCATTATTTGCTCAAAAATGTCACTTTTTCAATCATGACAGGCTTTTATACACAGTTGGAAAAAAAAAACAAATTCCACAATCATATTGAATATAAATGAGGAATTAAAGTCTTACTATTTCTTATATTTACACCCGCACTTTCTAAAGAAAGTTCGGGTATATTGTTGTTACCCTCGCCCGTCCGTCCGTCCTCTGTCACACTTTCCTCTTCCTCAAACTCCTCGTTTTATTTTAAGCAGTGACCAATCAGTCTTTTGGAATATGGTAGGTGGCTCCTGTAGATGAGCAATAAAGTTTTAGAATTTTCAGTATTACCAGAGGGACAAAGCGGGGTCCAAAAGACTGATTGGTCACTGCTTAAAATAAAAAGAGGAGTTTGTGGAAGAAGAAAGTGTGACAGAGGACGGACGGACGGACGAGGGTAACAACAATATACCCGAACTTTCTTTAGAAAGTGCGGGTGTAAATATAAGAAATGGTAAGTCTTTACTTACTCATTTATATTCAATATGATTGTGGAATTTGTTTTTTTCCTACTGTGTATAAAAGCCTGTCATGATTGAAAAAGTGACATTTTTGAGCAAATAATGAGAAATGATTGCAAATTCACTGGTCAAATTGTATTGTAGACTTAGACTTGATACGCGAAACTGTTTTAAGATGACCACCCTTATCCCATCCCACCAATACACGCATTAATAAACCTGGAAAACCTGGTTTCCTACTGATCTTTCATCTATCAATTGGTGTTTTCTTTTTCACAGATTTTTTACTTTATGGTTTCAACAAATTAAAAAGTGAAATAGAAGAATTTTCAAAATTTACAATATCTTATTTCAAATTATCATGTTACCTTAGATCATCTTCTTTTGTCAACATATGGAATATATCAAGTAATGAGCATGTGAATTTAAAATCTATTGTAAATGTTTTAGGTCAAGGTAATCAAGTAAACCATAAAAGGATCAATTTTTTTGTTAAAATATTTGTAAACAGAAGATATGAGGGTAATCCCAATTTTTGAAATCTAGTTCTCTATAATTTTTCAGAGTTTACGATAATGATATAAAGCAAAGTATACTTTTATAATCATATATAATTATAATTAAATACGCGGAAATTGAAACTAATAATAACAGGAAGGATATAGATCATACGAAAGCCAAAACGTAAATTGGATTTTCAATCCATTCTTTTCAATCGATTCTAGAATGGACTTTCTTTTGTACAAAGTGATTGTAATTGCGTCTTTACAACTTCATGTACTATCAAAATGTACAGGGTATGTTTATTTATTAGTAACTTAATGATGGCAGGTATGCACGATCATGAAAATTCAATTTGTAGTTCTTTCTTAACCTTTTTTTCATAGCAAAACCGGACCTGATTGCTGTTTTGGATTCTCCTGGGATTCTTTGAGCCAAAGTTGCAAACGTAAGATACCTTTAATAAGGGATAAACTGCAAACACAGTCTGTCGTTTTGAAAATACTTTGCTTCATGTAGATCTTTCATAATTAAACTACTTTTCATTTCCAGTAGCAAGGAGACAAAAGAGAAAGTTTCTAATATAAGAGTTTGTGCAAAATGAAAAGTTTATTTTTTTCAGCTATGTATTCATTATTAGTAAGGGTAATAATGAAATACTAAATGCAAATATTTGCATGAATTTTAAAAATTCTACCAACGTATCAATTTATTTTGATAAGAAGAAAAAAAGAAAAAAGAAAGTTTAATGTGGTTTAAATGTAGATTTTATTTAAATATGAGAGAAAAAATTTCGATGAATTAAGCAATCTTCTTTTACCTAACGCACCAATTAGTGCCTTTTTTGTGCATTAATATATAGGACAAATTCATAATGCTTTTCAAAAAAGCAAAATCAACTCCCTTTGAATTTGGCATTAAATTGTTCGTTAAATCTGAATAAATTCTGGTTTTAACACACATGTATATGATTCTTCTTTTCTAAGCGTGCAAACCTGGTTATGATGGGATAAATTGCAGTCAAGCATGTAGATACCCCAGCTTTGGACTGGAATGTCAAGGAGAATGTAAATGTCCACCTGAATTGTGTGACATTTCATTAGGCTGCGTGATAACATGTGGGTTTCTTCAAATTTTTGTAACTTTGTTAGTCATTGAACGTAATAAATATCCATTAATTTTTCATAAGAGAGAATAAAATTCTAAAAAAAAAAGAAGAAAAAAGATCAAAATCTAAGGATATGGGAAGAAATGTATGATTTAATCCTTTACTATTTATTTAAGCAAAAGCTGAATACACGGAAGGCACAACAGATCTCCCAGAAAAGCACAAAATGACAACAGAAACTGAATCACAGCCAGTGTTGTATGCATTGAACAAACAATGGTTAACTGCAATCATCGGTTTATTATGCTCTATTATTTTAATCATTGTTATTTATCTCTGCTGTGGAAAGAAATTAAAAAAGAAATTTTCCAAAAAAGGAAAAAGTACGAAATCTCTTCAAAAAAAGAAACAATCAACAGCAGACTCGTATACTCCTTTGAGAGAACAAGGTTATCGTCAGGAAAGAATAGAACCGAATCCAAATCAAGAAAATACGAAGGCGCCTTCAATTTATGAAGAAATTGATGCAGACCATTTAGAACAATCACATGTTGGAGACACAGCTTGCAATATGAAACTCAATCGAAAATCCTTAACAAACAGAAGAGTTAGTAAACTTTCACCGACAGAAGATACATCGTATTTAGATGTGGTTGACTCTGGAGATTTTAGCAGTTCTTATAAAAGGGAGGAAACTAAAGAAAGGTGTGAGAATGCAAAATATATCGGACAAGACCGGGAAAGTGGCACAATTGATGTTGAAATGTGTCAGCAAAACGAAGGCAATGGTTCCTATCTTACTGCAATATGAACGACTATTCAAAAAACATTAAAAAAAAAATGCAACTATCAGTGCATTGAAATGGTCTGTATTTATGCATAATCGTATATGTTCATGTGCGTAAATCATCCAAGTTTCTTATATTTCAGGAGAAAAATATTAAGCGTGTACATAACTTTTTTAAAAACATCTGTTTCATTATAAATGTTGTTCTTGTGTTTTCTTAAATAAATAAAAAAAAAAAAAACAAAACAAAACAAATTATATTTGGTGAATCAACAGAAAGGGACACCTTTTAAATAAAAAATGTTAAACAATTATTCATGAATATCAAGAGTTGAATACAATCTGATTGAAATCAGATCCTTTGATTCGCCCACATAGATCGCAAGAAACCCCATTTAGGGTCGTCTCCTGGTGACCTTTCAATTATCCAATCAAACTTTCGCTTGCAGGAATTTAGTAGGATCTCGGAATTCAGTCTCAGCAGTGAAAGCCCCGATGATACACGAACGGAAATTTGTGACCTGGTTTCAATGGCCGTCAAAAAAACGGCCACAGTCTTTCCTGTACAGAAATATATTTAGTATTTGCTTTTGCCTTGTTTTTAGCTCTTTGTTTAGTACGAAACGATAAAATCTTCTCCACAGTTACTTTTACTTCTATATTCATTTTCCCGAATGTCGTTTAAATACGATCTCTCCGATTGGTCAAAATTCTAATGAATATTTTTATTTGAAAGGTCACCAGGATATGACCATGAATAGACAGGGTTCTTCACATTTAAAAAAAAATAACCATGGAGGAAGCTTTGCGAAAGCGAAATGTGATCGAAAGCACGAATGCGTGATAGTCTATCTAAGCTCAATTAATCAATGATTGATTTCACAAAACTTAACCACTGTAAAACAAAAAATTGAAATACCCCCCCCCTCCCCCAAATATAAACACACAAAAAAGCAAAAAATAAATAAATAGATAAATAAAAATAAAAAAAAATAAAAAATAAATAAAATCAAAACATAAAATAGAAATAACAAGAAAAAGGATTATGTGTCTTACTTAACAAAAGTACTAGTCAAAATGTACCAAAATTGGACCAAAACTGTCGGGGCATTTTTAATTAAAAGAATTTCATATATGTATTTTTTATAGTAATCATCCAACACAGTTCGTCGAATTTTATTCAAAAACTAATATACAGAATTGATCTTGCCTGTTGCGTGACAAGTTTTATTTAAATAGGACAAAACTGATGGAGGAGTAGTATTTTGGAAAAAAAATACAGACACACAAACAAACACCGACATTTTGACATTGCCTTAGCTTAATTTAACTGTGTGTTCTTTGAAAACTTACTGATGGTATAAGTATCAAAATTTAATATAATCAGGGGCATGGATTTGACATAACTGTAATATTACTTTCTCCGTTTTTTCTAAGTTTTTTTTTCTACACTGCATTCCTCAGTTGTTTACTTCTCCGTGTGCTCCACTGCTACAAACATATAGCACCAGAAAGATAATAAAATAAATATTTGAAAACGGAACAAGAGGAGCAAGAGGAAATAATTAAGAACAAGTGAATAGGAAATTTTAAAAGATGCTTGTCGATTATAAGAGATTTTATCAGCTGGTTACGCTACTGTGCGCTTTGTCTTATCTTTTGTCAATCTGTTATATTATCTATATATAGTGAACGTTGGAGTTCCCTGAAATATTGTGGTAATGATCATCAGCTGATTGACTCTCAATTGTCACGCTTCACGGTGTATTCGCCGAACAACGGCCGTGTGATGATACATATTGTCGTTGTGTACATATTGTCGTCGGCGACAATATGTACCTACCCTAAATGCACATATTGACCTCCATCTGTATATATTGTCACCGGCTGAAAAGTTACACGTACAAATTTTCGCTGGCGACATTATGTTCCTCACCCGAACTGTACATATTCTCGCCCCACAGATATTGTTGCTTAAAAATTTCTTTTGTTGTTTTTTTTTTTTTGGTAGTTTTGTGAATGTAATAGGTGTGTGAAGCACACTGTCGTGTCAAGTATGCTATTTCATGCAACGTGATTGTGACGGTACATTTTGTCATCCTTTTCATTTTGTCGCCGGCGACAATGAGTACCTACCCTCACTGCACATATTGTCGTCCATCAGAACATGTCGCATGACAATGGAAGGCAATGATAATTTTTAAAGAATTCCCCCATATAATCCTATGTAAATCTTTGATCACCCATTGTGGCCCCATCATGATTTGAACAAAATTGCTTTTGTTTGTTTGTTTGTTGTTATAATGTCAATCTCGAGAATTTTTTATTCGTATGTAGACCGTTCACGGTAACTCAGTCGGTAGAGCGCTCGCTTCGTGATCGGAAGGTCGTGAGTTCGAATCTCGCGGCCGCGACTGACCGAAGTCGATAAAAAATGGATAACAACTGTCCCTTCGCCATGTGCTCGGCACTTTGAAATGAAAGTTGCGGGTCCTTCGGCTGAGACCTCAAAAACCGAGGCCCTGTGTCACGGGAGGTGAAGGCACGATAAAGATCACTCACTGCTTAATGGCCCTGAGTGCCGAGTAAAGGTCAAAATTTGAAGCCCTTCACGGGTATATGGTGACGTCTCTATATGAGTGAAAAAATCTCGAATGGGACGTTAAACAACATACAATCAATATTAGTATTTACATGTAGACGTCACCACTTGTCGGTGGAGGGCTGCCTATTTAAACCTATACTTGGCACTCAGGGTCATTGAGCAGTGAGGGGTCTTTTTTGTGCCAGCACTTCAAAATTGAACGTATGCTATGTAATGAAGCTTTCACATTAGTATCATCTCCCCTGACCCAGTAGTTCTTAAAAAGTTTTAAAAGATGTTTTTCTAAATATTTGATGGAAAACTTTGATCACCTATTGTAGCCACACTATTCCCCCGAGGGACATGATCTGAAAAAAAAAAAGAATCTACACTTAGTAATGAAGCTTTCACATAAGTATCAACTTTTCTGACACAGTGGTTCTTTGGAAAATTTTTAAAAGATGTCACTAATTTTTCACTAATTCTAACTACTTGCCTTGAAAGAGGGCATGGCCCTTCATTTGAACAAACTTGAATCCCTTTTATCCACGGATGCTTTGTGGCATGTTTTGTTGAAATTGACCTGGTAGTTCTTGAGAAGAAGCTAAAATTGTGGAAAAAATTGCAGACAGAGAGACGGTCAGACAAAATGTGATGAGAAAAGCATACTCGAACTTCCACTTCAGGTGATCTTAAAATGTCAACCCCAACACAAATTATATCGGAACATGATTGTATATAAGAATAACCCCCAAAATAATTTTAAATAATCATAAAAACTAATACCTATATTCAATCTCCAAGTATATATTACAAGAAAAAATAGGCTGATTTATCAGAAATCTCAAGAATTACGGTATCTTGACATATTATAGTGATGTACATCAATCTTGGACACAATTTTCTGACCAAAAATTTTCTATAGTATTGCGAGCAATGCTGCCTGTCTCCCTCTGTAATTCTGTGCACGTTTGTCAATCTCTCTTTCCTTTCTCAATTAAATATTCGTCATAAAATATATTGACGACAACATATGCCGATCTTGAGTGTACATATTTTGCCTTCGACGACAATATATGCTGGTGCTTTACTGTACATTTTGTAGTCCATTATGCAAGAGGAAAATAAGGCTCGTCTTGGTACATATTTTCGACGGCGTACATGTACCGTCACAGACTGTGTTTGATTAGCACGTTCCGCTTTCTGTCGAGGTGCTTGCCAGTCGTAGTATAAACACAATTAACTACTCAGGTCATTAATGGTTAAGTGTCAATACTGAAATGATATAAAAATTTAATAATGGCGGCCGCCGATTTTAACCATGGCGCAGCTCGTTTAACCATGGCGCACATAACATAAATTTAGCCATGGTGGGCCGCCATGGTACATGTAAAACCCCTTGTGGAGAACCCTGATAATAGAGATTCTTCACATCCTTGTGTAGCGATCTATGTGAGCGGATCAAAGGATCGATTTTATTTAAATTGGAGTTGTATAATGCCTAATTGACATACTTATGGAAAGAGGCAACAGTGATCACAGAAAGATTTAACTGAAGGAATACTAGCACAAATTGAAACAAATATAAATGAATTTTGAACATTTTTGATAATACATTTTAAGTAAAAATTCA